ACTTGCAGCAGCACCAGAACCACAAAATTTTAAAGTATTCTTTCTTTAAAATAATGCAAGAAGCTTATGACAGCATTTATATTATAACATCTAAATATGGAACATCTCAATTCTTTTTTGTTATTCAATAATGCTGCATGAAATTTACCACACACATCTAAAAACCATAAAAACAAAGACTTTGGAATTTGTAACACTTTGAGTTCACTTTGAAGCAGAGGAGCACATCAAGCAGAAAATTCAAATGAGCTGGTATAAATGACATACATAATAAGTAATTCCAGGTATATCCAGAGTCATCAAAATGTCAGACTCTGATGACTTAAATTACTTCAATTGAACAATTTATAAAACAGCACAAACTCTCCTTCTTTTTACGTAATTTCCCTTTCTTAACATATAGAAATTATGTAGTATTTTTATATCTATGTAGACTATACTTATTATATTCAAAGATAATAGTAGCCATGAATATAAACACTTAGAATAGAATTTTACTCTTGCCCTATATTCTGCTGTTAAAACCACTGTCGAAATATACAGTGTGCTAATGCAAAAATAACTGATATTGGGACTTTAATTCTCCCTTTGAGTCAATGATTTTCTACCAATTTCAAAAGAAAAATGGTTTAAAGTGATACTAACTTTCCAGTTTTAGGTTGAAGTGCTTGTGACAATCTCTTAGAATTCTCTCTTTTTAGGGAAGTTCTCGCTGTAACTTATAAGATAAGCAGAGACAGGAACAAATACTCCCTTGCTAACCTTGTATTTCCTTCCAGTTTTCAGAGGTAGCAGCTGCTCCTCTAACTCTAACAGGATGAAGCCTGTATGGTTGTACTTCTTTGCAGGACTGATATAGCTGGAGGATAAAGTACCATTAAAGAAAGAAAATGAGCTCTTTCCTCAAACAGTAAGGGCTTGGTGCTTCTGGTACACTGTCTTGTTCCTGGGGATCTGCTACAATCCTGTTGTTAGTCTGCAGCTAAGAAGAATACCAAAAAGATTTGTTGCATTCTATTCTTTCATCTAAGAGGGTAGCATGACTCTTCCAAGAATATACACAAGACCAGAAGCACAACATCAGCAACTCCTAAATGTTGAAGGTCCAGTCATCTTACTACTTACTCTTATTTTCTAACAAAAAAAAAAAAAAAAAAAAAAAAAAAAAAAAAAAATTCACACAGGATTTTCCTGAATGGTAAAAATAGAGAAAAAGGGAAAGGAAAGACTTGCTTAACTGCACATCAACAGGACACTGTTCTTGTAAATAACATGTAGAAAGCACACAGCAACTTAAATTAGATCTTTCCCAGCACAACCTAAATCTCTTTCTGCCTCTAGGAAAGTGCCCTTTATAACCAAGGGTTATGAATATCCAAGGGTGTTGGCTAATGTTACAAGCCACTGCAGGTCAGTGATCAGCAATCTCATTTCTATCCAAAGTAATTAAAACGTTAGTGGTGGGCAGTAAGTAAGTGTGTGCTTAAGCCCTACTGGTGACATGGGATGTCACCATCCAGACCAAGGAATCAGGCAAGAGATTTTTTTTTTTAAAGGAAACCAAAACCTCCATTACGCATAGGCACAGCTGACATTCCACTGGCTTTCCTTGCTTTCCTCCTGAACCCCTATTCACAGAATTCTCTATTCATCAGGGCTTCTTATACTGGAAGATATACAGAAAGAATTAATTCAGTCAGGCATAGGGAATAACATATCACATCCTGAGTATCATCAGGCACAAACTAAAAAAATGACAACTGTTTTCTCTTACAAGAAAATGGAGTAAATTGAAAGATGAAGTTTATCATCAAGAGCTAAAGAGCAGTGATACAAAACATTTGCTGATCCAGGAAAAATGTTCAGCAAGCTGGCCTGCAAAGTGTTATCACAGTAACTTGCTCTCCATGTCAGTATAGCAGTGGCAGCATCAGTTTTGACTTTTCCTTTCCCAGGGCTACAAAGAACCACAAAGGCAAGATGTTCACAAGATGCTGCTTTGAGGACCACAGACACAGGTCTTCAAACTACTCATGTCTGCAGCTATAGGCAAACACCACTTAAGAGAGCAATTTTAAATAATTGGTCTGTTCAGAAAGGACCAGAATATGTCTAGAATAAAATCACTTTTATTCTGTAAGAGAGTCTACACCCTACTCCAAAATAGCTGCTTGCATATAGTTATGCCAATCAACTGCTGTGCATAGATAAAGCACCACCGCTATGGAGGTTCCTATCAAAAAACACATCCAACTTCTACTGCCAGCAGAGCATGCCCACAGTCTTGTGTGTTAGTTTTATGTGGGGAGTGGGGGTTTTGAATAGGTTAGTTTTTCATTTAAGCACTGAATATCCTTCTGTCTCCTAGGCCAAGGGAAAATATTGTGTATTACTAAATGTACTGTACACTGCTATATAAGCTGCTAAGTACAACAGAAATTTTTCCTGATGTAAAAAACAATGAGCAGAATTTGGATAAAAAATTGTTATCGGAAGTATTGATGAATACAACAGAGAGGCAAAAGCTCAATTAGAACTTAAACTGGCCAAATCTGTAAAGGGCAATAAAAATGTTCTTATAAATACATTTACAGCAAAATGAAAGGCAAGGAAAACTTCCATTCTTTATTGAATACAGTGTAGTTATTAAGGATGAGGAAAAGGCTGAGGTATGTAACACCTTATTTGCATCAGTTTTCAACAATAGGCCAGGTCATCCTTAGGACAATTAGCTTCCTGAGCTGGTAGGTGGGGATGGAAAGCAGAATAGCCCCTCTGAAATCCAGGAGGAAGCAGTTAGTGATCCAGGAGGAAGCAGTTAGTAATCTGCTGAGCCATTTAGATGCTCACAAGTCTATGGGACCAGATGGGATCCATCCTAAGGCAATGAGGGAGCCAGTGGAAGAGCTTGCCAAGCCACTCTCCATAATTTATCACCAGTCCTGGCTCACTGGTGAGGTCCCAGGTGACTGGAAGCTGTCCAGTTGATGTCCATCCACAACAAGGACCAGAAGGAGAATCTAGAAAAACTACAGTCCTGTCAGCCTGACTTCAGTGCCCAGCAAGATTATGGAACATATCTTGAGTGTGATTGAACAGACAGGACCTGCAGGACAGCTATGGGATCAGGACCAGCCACCATTGATTTAGGAGGGGCAGGTCCTGCCTGACCAGCCTGATCTCCTTTTATGACCAGGTGACCCTCTGGATGAGAGGAAGGCTGTGGATGTCGCTTATCTAGACTTCAGCAAGGCCTTTGACACTGTCTCCCACAGCATACTCCTGGAAAATCTGGTAGCCCATGGCTTGGACAGGAGCGCTCTGCCAGAAAAGAACCGGCAGAATGGCTGGGCCCAGAGAGTGGTGAATGTTGCTGCCTCCAGTTGGTGCCCAGTCACCAGTGGTGTCCCCAGGGATCTGTGTTGGGCCCTCTCTTGTTTAATATCTCATTGATGATCTGGATGAAGGGATCAAGGGTACCATCAGTAAAGTTGCAGATTACACCAAGTTGGGTTTGACTGTCCAGTTTGCTGGATAGGAGGTCTCTGCTGGATAGATGGGCTGAATCCAACAACACAAGGTGTTTAACAAGACCAAGAGCCAGGTCCTGCACTCAAGCCACAACAACCCCCTGCAGCATTACAGGCTGGGGAGGGAGTGGCTGGACAATGCCCAGGCAGAAAGGGACCCTGTGGTGCTGACTGACGGCAGACTGAACATAAGCCAGCGTGTGCCCTGGTGGCCAAGAAGGCCAATGGCATCCTGGCCTGTATCAGGAATGGTGTGGCCAGCAGGAGCAGGGAGGTCATTCTTCCCCTGTAGCTGGCACTGTTGAGGCCACACCTTGAGTGCTGTGTCCAGCTCTGGATCCCACTGTTTGGGAAGGACGTTGAGGTGTTGGAGCATGTCCAAAGAAGGGCAACAAGGCTGGTGGAAAGATCTGGAGCACAAGCCCTGTGAGAAGTAGCTGAGGGAGCTTGGGGTTGTTGAACCTGGAGAAAAGGAGGTTTTAGGGTGACCTTATCACTCTCTACAACCACCTCAAAGGAGGTTGTAGCCAGCTGGGGCTGGTCTTTTCTCCCAGGCTACAAGAGACAAAAGAAGATGACACACTTAAGCTGTGCCAGGGGAGGTTTAGGTTGGACATCAGGAAGAAATTCTTCACAGAAAGAGTGATTTGGCATTGGAATGGGCTGCCCAAGGAGGTGATGGAGTTACTATCCCTGGCAGTGTTGAAAAGATCAGATGTGACATTCAGTGCCATGGTGTAGTACACATGAGGATGCTCAGTAATAGGTTGGACTCAATTTCAAAAGTATTTTCCAGCCTAGTTGATTCTGTTATTCTGTGAATGGGCTTACACTGCTTTTTCTTCAGCTATATACTCTACATGAGTCTCAAGAGGTGCTGAAAATACTTTCAAGCAAAGCTGTTTCAGATTAAAACAGAAGGCTGGGTAAAAGGTAAAAAAACTGCTACAAAAGGTTGAAGAGTTAAAACATAAAAAAACTGCTACAAAACTACAAGTGTTCTGTAGTTCAGACTTCACCCACATTTTTACAGAAATGTGTTTCTTCAGAGTAGAACTGGTTATTTTCCAGACCAAAACTATGTTTTCAAAGCAAAGTCAAGGAACAGGAGAACATGGATGGGATGCTGGCCATAATATTAACAAGAAAAAAAAAAAAAAACAAAAACTACTGTTACTTCACAGTAAAGCTAGAATGTTTTCCTGAATGTTTTCCTGAATGTTTTCAATAATTCCTCAGGGATGCTGCACACATAGCAAGTGTATCATGACATCATCCATATCACATTATGAAATATCTTATATGTCCAGAGATGCAAAGCATTTTCAAATAATTCATGGCTAACTTGCTAACATAGTTTTGAAGTCCAGTTACCAGTGAAGACTTTCTTACCTCACTTTTCACTTTGTCATGGCTGCATGAAAAGCTATGGCATAAATCCATTCCCATTTGAAAGCAGTTTACTTGGTATATTTATTTCTAGCTACAAAAACTAGACTGAAGTGTTGGAGATTTTGAACCACACTCAAAGGCATAAACATGCTGAGACTACCTGGTACATACCACCACTAGCTAAACAAGTTATTTGCAAGTGTGGGGTTTAAAGCCTCACATAAGGAATTTTTTAATAACTTGTGAAACCAAATTTCATGCTAGCTACATGTCATTTTGCAAATTTAGAATTTAGAATGTAGCTGTATAATTCTTAGTTTCATTACGTTACACATTAATTGAAACAAGGTAGTGAAATTCCTGCTTTTCAGCTACGCTGGTGAAAAAATAAACTTCAAAAATTTGCATGAACTTCTGGATGTGACTTGACAGTATAAGCTACAAATATCCCAACTGGTAGCTCAAGCTGCAATGACCTTTTACTGCAGAACACACAGTAAGGAAAGCACATACCATGCAAAATAGAAAAAAAGAAAAAAAGCTTCTACTCACATTTTGAAAGGAAAGTTCCAAAAGTGCATTGCCACAACTACTTCAGCATACAAACTGACAGTTTATTTCTTAAGCTATCTAGAGTACTTTCAGAGCAAATTAACGAATCTGTGATTTTACAGAGCACAGAAAAAACAAGTGTCTCAAAACTGGTTATTTCTTTGTTCTAAACTTTAAGCCCAGAGTACTGAATCCCCAATTCAGCGACCTTATTTGGAGTCAGTGAGAAACAGACCTGAATTGAAATACTTTCACAATGGCTAATAAAAATTAGACAAGTTTAAAGAAATAGATGTGATATTTAAGATGTAGCTCACCCAATACCACAAAGGCAAACAAAATTAAAACTTAAGAACTTCGCTTTAGACACTAGTATAAATTTTGACCCTGCACATTTTCTCACAATGTCAAAAGGGGAAAAAAGAAAAAAAGCCCTCGTGCTGTTGATACTAAGTTACTGGTCCACTTTTTATTTTGGGGATTGTTCTTAAAACTGTTTGGCCTGTAAGTTAGTGAAGCCGGTGCACAACACTGAGCAGATGTTTAGTGCTGAGCTTCAGTGTAAATTTCTAGCAGGTGACTACTACTGCTGCAACAAGCACTTTTGGTTTGTCCTCCTTTGTTCTACCTCCAGCTCCTAGCTTCCCCCCTAACAGCGCAGGATGTAAATACAAAAGCAAGTTACAAAGAGTTAAAAAGTTATTACTCAGCCAAGCTGTGATTCCCGTCCACTTTTAGCCTAAGGCAAACCTAGGCTAATTAGACTCAGGTTAACCTGCAATGAGAAAAGGTCAAGCTACATTGCATTATTTTGCATTTGCTTTGGGCTAGATGAATGCACAGTGTTCACAGCTCATCTTATGAGCAGTAACCTCACTGCACACCCTTTAGGAACAATCAAACAATTCTGGTTTTAAGACTGAATCCCGTGTGCTGAGAAAAAACAGGGTTACAGTACACTACCACTGTCAAGCCCCTGAAAATTTAGCATGCAGTTTTGCTTTCTCGGTCCTAAAAAAAAAAAAAAAAATCCATTACTCTACCGCTAAATACATGCTAAAACCATGGAAGGAATTAACAGAATTTCCACTGGAAGTGCCACTGGAAGCCTGTTTAACATCTGCCCACCTCTTCTCATGTAGGATTTAAATTTACTTTGTTGTTGAATTGGTAGAAAAATGACACTGTTTTTGTAAGTGTAGATTATAATTTCAAGTGAGATACTCCTACAACCTACACCCAAATGAAAACTGAAATTAATTTCATGACAGCTTGGAAAGTTCCACTTACTTAAAGAAAACAGACGTTTTTTCCATTAAAGCATCCTTCAACTCTACCAGATTCAAATGTCCATTCTATAAGTATTTTATTCTATATGAATTCACACATGTCTTTGGAGTTCCCAAGGTGAGCTCAGTAGTCCACAACCAGGAAAAATCTCCACTGCTCCTGGTCAGAAGCCCTCATGTTTTTTCATTTTGGAAAGCTGTTGCAGAAACCTTTTGAACAATATGCAACTGTTGAACAGCAGAAGGTGCTGCAGAAAAAAAAAAAGAAGAAAGAATGGGAGAAGAGAAAAAAAAAGAAGAGTAAAAAGTGTCTTAAGGGAGTTGGTTCTTTGTCTCCAAAAGAAGTATCTCTACAAAAATGCATTGAAACACCACCCCATCAGGCCACAATTCTGTATACAGGGTCTCTTGGAGGGTTCTAGGCAAAGTAAGAGGAAATGAGAGTGGCTCAATTTACATTTCAACTAGGAATCAACACAGGGAAAGCCCCCCTGTCTCTCTCGTTCCAGGGCCACAGAGCAATCTTCCACTTTTATCAGCTGGTGCTTCTCTCTTTGGCTGAGTGAAAGCTGTGTGTCAGGAGAGGGACCCTACACTAGAAAAACAAATTCAATTTTAGGATATTCACTACTAGCAGGATTCCCACATGAATAGAGTTAAAAAAAGGATTTAAAAAATATAGAAAAAGATAATAAAAAAAGTCACTTCACTTAGTTCTTTCTTTTACAACAAAAGACAAAGAGTGGAGTAAAGACACAAAGAAACTAGGAGATGAAACCAAAACCCTGAACTCAGTCCAGGTAGTCTCTTTCACAGCTATGAAAGGAAGAATAATTCTTTTTTTGTCAAATTATCTTATCAGAGTTGAAGAGAAAAATCTTTTATCTCCCTCTATCCTCTTGCTTTGGAAGAAAAGTATCAAAATGTTGACTATTTAAGTTGCTACAAAAGGACCCTATTGCATGGATTATTTAAAATGCCACTTCATTCATTAAAATCCAAGCAGAGCACAGAACAAGTAATGACTGTACATGTATAGCTCACTTACAAAACTAATTATTGGTCCTAATAATGTCTAGAGCTACCCTCTGAAATTCTTGCAGTTTGCCCAGTAGGTTCATCCCTTAATAACTGACATGATGTGACAGACATTCAGCACAACGTGTGAGGATTTGACTACATAATTCCCATTGTGAACACTAACTCACTGCTGCACTCCTGCAGGCTGCACTGAAAACCTTCCCCACCCTGTCACTGTGCAGGACTAATTACATCACTTAAAATTGAGAGGAAAACTCTTCTAATTAAGGATCAACTTTGGCATCTGCTTTTACGTTCATACTAACCTCGCTTTTCAGTATGCACACAGGCACATTCATAGGCAAATTCTTCCCCCCTAAAAAAATCATGCAAATTAGAGGAGAACTTGGGCCAAAAGTACATCTGTTTTCATTACAAGAACTTGCCTAATGGAATTATTCTCTTCTCTGCAAGCCCTTGGAAATAAATTGAGAGTGAGCTTACAAGCATCCATAAAGCTGCAAACCAGTAAAGAACAGTACACATATCCTTAAACAGGAAACATCTTCTGCTATGCCCAAACTGCTCTACTGATCTCAAACCATTTATGATTTCTACTTAGATCTAATAAGCTACAACAAATAAATACTGATTTCTTTTGGACTTTTAAAATATTCAAAAGGGCTTTTCTTTCTATAATGAAGTAGAACAGATGTCACATACTACAACCTGCTGTTTGAGACTGCTCTTTACCCCTGCGTGCTCTTTAAACACCAGTAACAGTCTAAATAAAGATGGAATCAAAACAAACAGGACACAAGTGACAATGAGAGTCAGCATTATCTTGCAGATTAAAATATACAAACACAAGAAATGGAGTTGTGCTTCTGTGAAGAACCATCTCATCACACCTACTCTCATATAAGCAGATTTCTGCTTCTCAAATGTGAAGAATGACAAAGTGCCCAATGGCAACATTCCTGTAATTCGTCCATTTAGCATCTGCACCATTTCTACACATCTTTGCTTTGTGATAATGCTCGATCTGCATCAGAAGTTCACATCTACATTTCATCATGTTTTATTCTATATCAGAAAATGGGCAAAATACTAACACATATCATTCCTTGGAGAACTCAAAGTCAGAAGTTTACTACTTCAATACACATTATGTACAAAGACTGCACACATAATACAGCTAGGATTTCTACTTGTTTACTTTCCTCTGGTGGCTTGTAGGAGCAGTAATTCACTTCAGGACTTCATTTTTAGTCTAGTCCAAGCAAAAGAATTGATGCAGAACTGCAAAATTCTTTGAATTCTGAAACATAATACTAAGGTTAATCAGGCCAGAGAAGCATAATTCTTCACTAATATGCACATATAGCTCTACAACAGCTTTCTTCTTTCCTCTAAACAAGCAAAAGCTTACTTAGGAAGAAAGTCCTTACAAAGTAAGGCCTTTCTTCCTTTCTGGTCCTGCTACAGTGCTTCTGTCTGACTTTCATCATCAGAACAGCCTCATGCTTTCAGTGCTGAAACCACTTTACTAACCCAGCTTTGGTTATGCAAGTCTTAGTGTCTCTTCTGTGGTGGTGCATGTATCTGGGAAAAAAGATCTGCTCTTTTTTTTTTTTTTTTAAGGGAAAGATTAAGAGAATCCCTCAATTTAAGTTCTTAAAAGACCAACCCTGTAAGCTTGACTTATGTCTTATCTCAACTTCTGTAACAGCAAAGTCCTCAATGGACTTCTGGTATTTCCCTCCCACATCCACTTCCCTACACTGATCCAAAATTATCCACTCATACAAATAAAATGACTACGGAATTTAAGATTCAGGAGTGATGCCTGCACACCTGAAACACTGTCAGCACGTATCATTCATCTCCCTCCTGCATAGCTCCTCAAAAAGGCAACCACCGAACTTACACAGCACAGGATGCCACAGATGGTGCTTTCTGAAGCATTCATTCCCTATGCTCATTAGAAAGGCTGTCCACAGCAACAAGCTTTGATACAGACATTGACATAGTAAAAATTAACTCCTGATTGACATGTAAACACACAGGCCGAACCTTCTGTTCCCAAGTCCATGATACCCCAAAAATCGACATGATTCATTTTCTGTGTACAACAGATATCTACCAGAAAAGTGCCAATGAAGGCTTAAGAAGTCCTTAGGCCCAAAAGGACCTACCTCTCTGGTGAGACCAGTCCTGGGGGACGTTCTGCTATGTACCACTTTCACTCCAAAGGGCTCCAATATGCAAGAAAGCACAGCAAGCAGCCACAGCTTTCTCTCTGCAGCTTCCTGCAGCCAAAATTTTACACATGCTGAACCCCAAACGGCAAGCACTGTGAAGATTAAGAACAGACACCTTAGCTTGGTGTGTTGCAGAAAGTCAGCAAAGAAAGAAAGATCAGATTCAACTTGTGGCAGCCAGTGCTGCCGGCAGGACACACAACAAGACCCTAAACCAGCTGGTGCTCCAGAGGAACTGCAGGCTTTGTGCCCAGGAGTATCACGTTACAATAGTCAGGAGAAAAGTGATGAATAGATAAGTAACGGAGGTCAGGTCAGCCTCTGACAAGGGAGAGTTTTCTGTCAGCGAGAGGCAAGAGAAAACACTCTTTGTGAATGCTAAGCTCTTGTAGAGCAGATGGGGACGCTCCTGACACAGTCACATGCCAAACACACGGCAACTTTGTAGGGCTTAACAATTTTCCAAATACCATCACCATTACACTTCCATCTTACCCACATCAGGCTTCAGTTTACACTCCCTCTTTCCCAAAACCACAACTTTGATTCTTCTTGGTTGTAATTTATATCCTATCCTTTCATGTATACATCATTTGCCTACTGCCAACATACACATCTACAGTCAGCTTGCCTACTGGTCTGTAGAGAAAAGAATTCCCCAATACCAGAGACCTAGCAAGGGAGCTGCAGATTTACATCTTTATTTCTGTTATGCACCTTTACACAAATGCTGATGGAAGGAATATTAGGAAAATATTTTGGATCCACCACTCCTCTCTGAAGAGACAGCTTTCAAAAAGGAAGCAAGGTCAAAGAGCCAGTCATTCCAAAAATGGTTCCTAATGGATGCGTGTTTTCACATAACTGATGTTTCTCTCAAGAAGTGCAAAGAAAGAAAACCTGGTTAAGCCACCTGCTACTGCAGAAGCAGAAAACAAAATGTGTGGAGAAACCTCATGACACGGTGTATTCTCACCAAACCTAATGCTGCTGAAAGAATTGACACATACATTGTTATGTAACTCAGCATGACAAAGAAATTGTATTTCTTCAGGTTTTGTTGAAGGTGACACCTTCTTCTTTTCTTACAAAACACTGCAAACTGTCACTCAAATTTCTATTCCTCTGCTCTCCCTGCCTGTTCCAGTAGTAATCCTGCAGATGGCACTAGGGACTAAGAAACTTCTTTCATATTTTTCTTGTCGGAGGTCTTTTACTCTGTATTCATTTCATGTTCATTGAACTGTACCATAGAGCTCATCTTTTAAGTATGTTGATTACTTCAAATCGATAAAAATTACCCTATCCTCCTGCTGCACCTTTAAGATCTCTTAAGAAATTTCTGAAAAAAAACCCCTTTATTCACCAGATATTAGGCATCTGTAATAGATAGCATAAAAATAAAATAATGGATGGATAACACTAGTAATGTAAGTAAAATGGCATATTTAACAGAGGAAACAAAGCCTATTATTGACACATAAGACTGAATAACAAATAAACTCACATAGTAGAGAGAAATGTGACTTTAAACTTATGATGGTGCACTGTTGTTCCTTTGAGACACCCAGAAGAGGAATTAATTCAAATTTCATCTTTCATACTTTCTATGAAGCTATTCCTATAAAATTTAAAATTCACTGTTCCCATAATCATCTGTGGCTTGATTATCTCACAGGATGCAGCAGACTCATCTGAATTGGAAAGATACTTTTCTTCTGCTCAGTGCACCTTTTTTAGCTAGACAGATGGTACAGCAGTTTCAGAGCAGAAAGTTAAGTATCTGACAAACAGCTGGAAGATTTTAAGCATCCCACTTACCCTATCTGGGAGGGCAGCCATTCTCATCTCAGTTTATCTGAGATTTTTCAGACAAGGTATTTTAAAAAGAGCAATGAAATGCATTCAGTTCCTAAGGCAAATTAATTTCATAAAACATACAGAGGTGACTGAGCGTGACCTCA